TTCTAGTTGAAATTGGTATCTAAAGGTTTTCAGGGTCGGAGATTATAATTCTTTCGTCAAAATTTGAAAATTCAAGATGGCGAAACTTATAAGGCGAGCGAGTTTTGTAATTACGATCCGAATCTATTCAAAATTGGTATCTGGGGGTTGTCAGTGTCGAAGATTATGATTCTTTCCAAAAAATTTGAAAATTGAAGATGGCGTTTTGTAATTATGATAAGAATCTATTCAAAATTGGTATCTAGAGGTTTTCGGCGAGGTTTTCGGTGTCGGAGATTATGATTCTGTCCTCAAGATTTGAAAATTCAAGTTGGCGGCTCCAATATAGCAGAGGAGTTTTATAATTATGATCTGATTTTATTCAAAATTGGTAACAGGGGGTTTTCGGGGTTGGAGATTATGATCTCGATTATGATTCCTTATTAGAAAATTCAAGATGACGGACGAGTTTCATAATGGGCTTATATCACAAAAAAAATTTATTTCATAGTTCCATAGAAACCGTTTCTTGCTGTGAGCTCCCTACGTTTTATAAAAAAATTATTGAAATCCCCGATTTTTCGGGCCTCTGAAAACGAGGCGATGATGTGACGTCAAAACCCTAATACTGAATCAAGACTATTCCAGACAGCGGTGAATGATACATGATTTCTGACAGAGTGAATTAGCACGAGATCACAGTTGAAAAAATTAATATATCAGTTGCCTCAGTCTCCGTCGGGCGTTTGGTATTTTCTTTTAACTATGGCGAGATGCGGTTTCTACGTCATGAGAGGGTCCGTTTTCAGAAGGTACTATTATTTATGTCCAAAAATAAAACATTCCAGTTAATTTTTCGATCGAATTATGTCGTCAATCATTATTTATGTATAAAAGGATCATTATGAACATGGTTTGAGTAAAAAGTTCTACTAAGGTGTACACGCCCATTATGATAAGATTCTTTTTTAAAAATTGGTATCTGAGGGGTTTTCAGCGTCGGAGATTATGATTCTCTCATCCGGAGGTTATGACTGGTTCGTCAAAATCAGGAAATTCGAAATGGCGGATCTAATATGGCAATATAACAAACCAAAAATAATTCAATAGGGTAGTTTTCCGTCAAGCTCAGCTTTGCTGCTAAGTATAAACAAAGCACAAGGGCAGAAATTACAGGTAGCAGGGGTGCACTTAGAAAAGCAATGCTTCTCTCACGGTCAACTATATGTAGCCTGTTCGCGTTTATCTAATGCCCAAAATTTACACATTTTTGCACTTGTCGGGAAAACTTACAATATAGTGTATACGAAAATATTGTTATGAGTGACAGAACAAAATAACATTAGATATAGGAAACTAATTCTAAACAGTTGAAGCTATAATAGTCGATCTTTGATATTTATTCAAGGGCTTCAACGAGAGCGAAACCGCGGGTAGAAGCAGGGCCTACTCTATCTCACCGGGCCAGAGCGTCGCTTTCGTGACGTCACATTAGTAGGGACACAATCGAGGCGCTGGAAATTGCGTTTCCCAATTCATTTATGTACCACGGGAAAACGGTAACAGGTATCAATAAATGTCAAGAGATCAAATATGTACAGATTAGACTTTTTCAAGAGATGAATCAATATTCACTGATTTACGATTAATAGTTCAAGAAATATAGCATATCAAAATGAATTGACAACATTCAGAATTGTCGTTTTTTAAACAGCTGCTAGAATTTCAATATTCAATTCATAGAAATGATTCAACCATGCAATGGCTTCTCATGGTATCTAGATTGACTGTAATTTTTTCCAAAATTCCCAAGAGCCAATAACAAATCGATATTTCAATTCAACTAAAATGGTGATTCAGATGATTATTACAGACTAGTTCAAAGAGTTTAGACGGCCTCCATGCAAAACCTATTAGTTGGGGATATTTTTATAGCAGGAAATTTCAACTTGGATTTTAAAAGCAATCAGAAAAGAATTAAGGAATTTTTGGAATTAATTGACTCTTTCAATTGTTATGTAACGATAAATGAGTAGTCTGGAATAAACAGTTTCCTGTATATTTTTAATGAAAATTGAAATTTTATCATTCTAATACAAAAACTACACAACAAGTACAAGATCAAAACGTAATTTATTGCAAAAGTAGAATGGACATTTTATTAGTACTATCACAAAATAATACAGCTTATAAGGAACAGTATAATAATGTAAGACAAGAATATAGAAACTTACTAAAAGAAAATAAAAAAGACAAATATGATAGAAAAATTAAAAACTCTGATAATAAAAGTAAGTGCATATGGAGTATTTGTAAGGAGATAACAGGAAAATATGAGAATAATTCAGAATGCCAAATGACAGGGGAACCAAATAAGTTGGTCAATAGTTACAATAAATATCTAATTGATGTAATACCAAAGATGCTAGGAAATATGAACACCTCAGATTATCAAACAGATATAACATCAAACTTAGAACCAATGTTTATCACAACGGTAAGCCCAAATGAAATAATGGAATTAGCAAACCATATAAAAAACAAATTCAGCAGTGGAGATGATGAAATATCAACCAGTATTATAAAATTATGCATAACAGAAATAAAAGAAATTTTAGCTTTCATCATCAATAACTCACTAAAGTGTGGTATTTTTCCGGAACAATTGAAATTAGCGCTAATAAAACCTATATTCAAAAAAGAAAATCCAGAATCATTTGAAAATTACAGACCTCTTAGTTTGCTGCCAAGTTTCTCAACATTTTTCGAGTTGGCAATGTGCGACAGGATAATAAGTTTTATGAATAAATGCAACATTTTTGGGAATCATCAACATGGATACCTGAAGGGTCGACCCACCCAAACGGCAATATTTCAGTTCACACAAAATATTTTAAATTTTTTTGAAAATAAATATATAGCACTCGACATTTTTCTTGATTTGTCTAGAGCATATGATTATCTAGATCATCAGATTCTTTGCACAAAGCTGGAAAGATATGGAGTGCGTGGAAATGCGCTAAATTGGATAAAATCCTATCTCTCAGGTGGAAGACAAAGAGTGTCCATTAAAAAAGAGGAAAGAGAACATAAATCCGAAATTGTTAATACATTGATTGGGGTTCCTCAGGGCACAATTGTTTATAATCTTTATGAATGACTTAGATAACTTCATGAAAAATCAAAACTGTTATACCACTAAAGGGGAAACTTACCCTGAAACAGTATACACAGCAAATTGTATATATACAAAAAATTTGAAAAAGAATATGAAATACCTAGAAAAAGATAAATCAGAGTTCTCATCAGTGTGAAACCAGCCATGACTTCACCAATAATTATTGAAATTACTAAAACCTACAACATATGTCTGTGGGTGAAACTATGTCCTATTAATGTACTCCTCAAAGGGTCCTTAATAATCTGTATATCTCACAATCTTCTGTTGGGCAACAATAAACTCAGAGATAAACCCCACAGGACCCTTTTTTGTGAATTTTGGAAAAAAAATCATAACTTCTTCAAAATACAGATGGATGAGATTTTTTTTCCATAAATGTGTTCCTCTGATGAAAATTGATGAAATATTTTGTGGGGAAAGAATTAAAAAAAAATCATAACTTTTTCAAAATACAGGTGGAAAGGAGTTATTTTCCATCAATGTGTTCCATTGATGGTGATTGATGATGTCTATATCTCACACTATTTTGTTGGCAAGAATTAACCCCACAGGTCCCCTTCTTTGGAATTTTGAAAAAAAAATCATAACTTTTTCTAAATCTAAATACACATGAATAGAAGTTTTTTTTATGTTTCTGTTCCTCCAATGGTACTTGATAAAGTGTATATCCCACAATATATTGTCAGCGATAATTAAACCCACAGGCCCCCTTTTTTGGAATTTCAAAAAAAAAATCATAACTTTTTCAAAATGAATGATCTCATCCATAATTTTTTTGTAGTTACTTCTTAATTGTTTATTTGCTTCTCAATTTACTTCATTATTATATTAACAATTCTACAACAATTATATCAACTGAATATAGACCAGTGTGAAAGCAGCAAGGCAACATCATCCAGCAATGAATGAGATCAACAGGGGCAGGCCACAGAGAGAAGATATGGATAAAACTCTTTTATATGGAATTAGAAGTTAATATTTCATGATTTAATCTGATATAATAAATAGAAAATGCTTCACTAAATAAGATCAGATCATGGACATTTATACGTCCATGGATCAGATAGTTGTTTTATTTGCTTTGGTAAGAATTAAATTAAAGGTCAGGATTTGATTTTTGCAATATCTTTTTCTTGAGACAGATGTAACATAGCTTCCTGAATAATTGATAAGAGGGTGCAAGAGGGGTGAAATGGATGCTATGAAATCAGACAACTATCTGATCATGTTGAAAAGGAATAATCTCAGATAAATTATGAACATACAAAAATGGATATATATATATATAAAGCAATACATTGAGAATTCGCATTCTCTATGTGATGAGAATATTTACTCTTTTTCAGTTAATTCAATAGAAAACAACTACTTTCCTGGCTGTATGCCACGACGAACATTGAATTATATCTATTGAACACACATGATAAGAGTTCGAAAATAAAATATAAAAATTTCTGAAATTGAGAATTTGCATTCTCCTTCATATTCATGAAGCTATTTTACATCTGTTTCAAGAGAAAAATCTTACAAAAATTCTTTCCAAAGCTACAAGTTGGAATTTGAATTATATTGATGAGAGGGTGAGAGAGGGGTGAAATAGAAGCTACAAAATAAGACAACTATCTGATCTTGTTTAGTGAAGTGTTTTCTATTTATTATAGCAGAGTAAATCATGAAATCCATAGTATATTCATTTATAATTAGATATGAAAGACCACTTCAATAAAGTGTGTTCAGTATCACATAAGCAGTCAAAATAAACATGTAATGTGTGTGCATTTTCCAGGGTGAGAACATTTCTCACTGAAAAATGCAACTTTATAAACATGCATAAACTCACCTTTCCTGTTATTATCTCTGCCAAGATCCCTGTTGAGATCCCTGCCAAGATCCCTACCCACATCTCTAACTTCTGGAGGAGGCACAGCATTGTAATTCCCTTCATAGTTCCCCATACTCCCGTAGCCCTTGTTGTTTCTTGGCAGAACAGTAGACAAAACCTGCACACGAGTTGCACTCCATTTGAAATGCATAGTTGGTGTGTAAGAAGCCTCAACTAGGACTCTGTCTCCAACAGTGGGGTGTGAACCTTTGACACAAACATTTGTCTGGAAGATAACTTCCTCATCAATTAGTCCAAAGTTGTCATGCATTTGAGTCACTTTCCCAGTGAACACCCTCTGCTTAGTGCCGGTGTTAGTGTTGTTCTGTGTGCTTGCCAAAGAAGGGATGTTTGTTTGGAAAGCAGTGGGATTTAGCCTGGTGTTCAACCTCCTGGTATCAGGGTATGAGACTTGTTGAAAGAGAGGATTGTTTGCGATTTGGGGGTTCAGAGATGCAGCGGCATTCATAGCATTGTTTGCAATTTGTTGTAGGCCTAAGCCGAGATTTTGGCCTTGCATACCCATGTTCTGGAACACTTGTTGGTTTCCTGGGAATGGTACCATTGTTGAGCCTATATTTCCCAGAGTACCTTGGCCCATGAGTTGCGGTGGCATTGATCTTTGGTTCATCATGTTCTGGGAATCATTCGGCCTTCCCCAGGCTTTGTTGTTGAAAGCCATGTTGTTATTCATTGTTATTGCTACACTCTACAATTGAATTGAGTCTAGCCCAGCTGTAACGGAACTAACGAAGACACAAACAATATTGGCAGAATTTTTGTAAAACTTTTGATATCAAACAAAATGATATCAAAAAAGTCTGTCTGCTCATTGGACTTTTGACAGTTTTGACAACAGATTCGAGCAAATTGACAGATGACAATAACAGAACTCTTGACGTTGAGAATACGAGGGTCCTTTAATAAGTATTTTCTAATTTGAAACAAGGTGAATGGTTATCCGAATCTCATGTAGAATAGTTGTTATTCGTCAATAAATTAATAGATTATAGTCGATCACTATCTTTAACGATGAATAAATCATACATTTGAATATATATGTGGGTGAATTGCTGACATTGAAAGTATTGAAGTTTATGAATGCGCCTCGTAAGTTATTGCAAATTATTAATTCAACATGGCTGACCCGTGTTTCCTATTGACTGTTGAAGTCAAAAACGATATCGAATAAGGAAATACATTGCATTGAATCACCAAATAATTGAATGATTTTAACATTATACCATTATACCACTTGTTTTTTTCTAAAGTTCTGAAACTGTTCTCAAGAGTAAACTTCTTCGAAGGTGGGGAAAGGCAATCTGGTTTACAGTGTTGCCATTCTGTATATCTATATATATGATTATACAAATTATCTTTTGGTTTCATGTAAATTGTACGAAAGCGTAGGAGCGCCATAATATGATTTTTTTTAATTGACAGATATAACTGTCAACTAGCCTAATTGACAGATACTAAGTGGTAACTATAGTATACTTGACAGATACTCAACTGTCAACTAACATAATTGATAAATAATAAGTGTTGAGTAGCCTGTACTTGACAGATATAGTATAAGTGGTAATACTAGTATACTTGACAAATACTCGAGGGTAAACTAGCATATAATTGACAGATACTAAGTGGTATCTAGTCTAATTGACAGATATACTAAGTGGTAAGTAGCATACTTGACAGATACTAAGTGGTGAGAAACATACTAACTTGACAGATACTTAAGTGTCAACTAGCCCAATTGACAGATATTAGGTGATATCTAGCCTGCTTGCCAGATACTAGTTGGCACTCAAGTAATATCTACGTCAAGTATACTAGTTACCACTTGGTATATGTCAATTAGGCTACATACAACTTGGTATCTGTCAATTATGCTAGTTGACAGTTAAGTATCTATCAAGTATACTAGTTACAACTTAGTATCTGTCAATTAGGCTACTTACCACTAAGTATCTGTCAATTAGGCTAGTTGACACTTAAGTATCTGTCAAGTATTCTATAGTTACCACTCAGTATCTGTCAAAGTAAGCTACTTACCACTCAGTATCTGTCAATTTGAATTATAGGCTAGTTGACAGTTATATATCTGTCGATTTAAAAAAAAATATATCATAATTATGGCGCTTTTATATTGGCTTCTATACGGATCGTAAAAATGAGAAAGAACATTTCATGGTTTGATTTATTGTGACAGTGACTAAGTAATGAGTTCTGTGCTGCAACCGCTGGGTACAGAACTAATAAATAAAAATAAAAAACATTTCAAGGAATATGTCATATTGTCATTGTTACACGTTCTAATGTTTCATGTTTCATGTGCTTGCCATTTCCGAATACGTCATACAACAAACGATTTGTTTTGCATCTTAGTTTTGTTGTAAAGTTATTATGTAAAGTCCGTATGACACGGATCAGTTTTTCATCCATTTTCTGAATGAGAATTTGTATTCAGAATTTACTGCAGCATGTATTACAGAAACAGAGAGTCTGAATGCAAAATTGGATGAAAAATAGAACATGTCCTATTTTTCATTCATTTTATGTTGAAGCGCATGCGCATAACGCCATTATTTAACCTTCGAATTGTTTGTTTTGTTTTGAAGTGAGAAACAATTTTCTGGGGTTATGGTAATGTCACTTTGTTGGTACTTCGTAAAAGTATAATTGATGTAATAAAATATATAGGTAAACTACAAATAATGTATGTCCACTGATTAATTTCTCAAATTAAGATAACATATCAGTTCTATAATGGTTTGGTCTTCGGAGCATATGTTGGTGCTTTGCTTGAAGAATACCAAAAATATCCCTCTCTGTCTGCAATCTCGTTTGCAATCAAACACCCAGAAACTCTCGAGTAGACGCTTTGACATGCTTTGAAAAATATGAAATTTGTATTGAGTACCTACCTCATTCCTGGTGAAATACATTCTCGCCTATTTGTATCTTTTTTAGTTTATTTTGTCTGGAACAAAAGTGAAATGATCATTATTCATTCTTATGAAATTTGTAGATAAAAGGGTTTCTGAATGCAAAATTGGATGAAAAATAGAACAAGTCCTATTTTTCATTCATTTTATGTTGAAGCGCATGCGCATAACGCCATTATTTAACCTTCGAATTGTTTGTTTTGTTTTGAAGTGAGAAACAATTTTCTGGGGTTATGGTAATGTCACTTTGTTGGTACTTCGTAAAAGTATAATTGATGTAATAAAATATATAGGTAAACTACAAATAATGTATGTCCACTGATTAATTTCTCAAATTAAGATAACATATCAGTTCTATAATGGTTTGGTCTTCGGAGCATATGTTGGTGCTTTGCTTGAAGAATACCAAAAATATCCCTCTCTGTCTGCAATCTCGTTTGCAATCAAACACCCAGAAACTCTCGAGTAGACGCTTTGACATGCTTTGAAAAATATGAAATTTGTATTGAGTACCTACCTCATTCCTGGTGAAATACATTCTCGCCTATTTGTATCTTTTTTAGTTTATTTTGTCTGGAACAAAAGTGAAATGATCATTATTCATTCTTATGAAATTTGTAGATAAAGGGTTTCCAAAATGGTGTTCATTTTGTACCATATTCAGAACTCCTAGCCCACACAGGTGTTTCTTCTTTGGAGAGATTCACGAGACTTTTTTTAATATTTCTCCATCCCGATTTTTTAAAACAAATACGCTGAGAGGAAGGAAGGAATGCTCGAAGTCATCTCCACAAATTTTAATGATATTTTTAACTAAATCATGAGGGACATGTTTCGGTCTTATAAAAGACCATCTTCAGCCTAATTGAAAGGTCTACAATACAAAAACAAATGATATTGAAATGAAAGGGTTACCTATTTTATGCTAGACTTACTTGGAGTTGAAAAAATTATTTCATTAAATGCTTCTATTCCTTGAACTGTCAATGCCCATAGTCGAGAGTTCCAAGGTTCTGAATAAACAGGTGCTCAATAAATAAAGGGCCCCGTGCCCTGAGAGCGTATACTATGTTTTATTAATGAACATTTCATATACCCGAAATAACTAGCATACGTTGATAACTAGCAAATGCTATATACATTATTTCTATAATATATTTTTTCAGTTCAATATTCCTCAAGACACTATTATTATTTTATTCTCTACTTATTCTTTTTAGTTCCGCTATCTATACAAGCGTGTTTCTTTAGTTTTTCAAACTACGCATTTTATTTCAAAACTTCTTTTTATTTAGTACTCTTCATGAATTTCCCAATTTTGGCGGAAGAATCATAATATACGACCCCGAGAACCGCCAGATACCAAATTTGAATAAAATCGGATACTAATTACAAAAAATTACATTTAGATCCGTCATCTTGAATTTCTTAATTTTGACGAAGGAATCCTAATCCCCGATCACGAAAACTCGTGGGTTCCAATTTTGAAATGAATCGGATTATAATTACACTCGTCCGTCATATTGGATCCGACATCTTGAATTTCCACATTCGGCTCGAATTTTCAAATTCTGACGAAAAGATCATAATCTCCCGAAAACCCCCAGATACCAATTTTGAATAGAATCGGACCATAATTACTTAACTCGTCTGAATGTATATTAGATCCGCCATCCTGAATTTCTTAATGGTACTAGAACACAGAATATTATTCTGTGACTGGCATAAAAAGTATTCTATAACCTTCTATAACCTTCTCCTGGTTCTAAGCTACCACCTCACCAATTTGAAGCCAATTCGATGCAGTATAGTTTCGGAGCCTATTCAATATATACAAACAAACAAACAAACAAACAAACAATCAAATAATATTAATATAGAAAAAATCAGATTTTTCCTCTGCTAGATTTGTTTTATCATTAGTTTCATCAGAACTTGATTCATTTTTATTTACCTCAATAGGTTAAAGCAAACTGAATGTTGTCCAAAAGAATTCTAAACTTGAGATATCATCTCATAAATTTGAATATGGCGGGAAATGGCGCGAATTTTTTTCAAGAAATGTGGGATATTGTCAATTTTCAGAACGGCAACACTGGGCCTCGCGATAACAATTCGGGATGTCTTTTGACTAGCAACGTAACTTCCGTTAAAAATGGCCTTCTTCGTTCCTTCTCTTTCCCGTGTAGCCGGTTTTCAAAGCGCATTCGCCGGTGGAAGTGTTGGATTGCGGTTCGCGAAGTTTGCTGCTGTAAGAAATTTCTGCGAAAAAATGGGTCTACCAAGAGTATTTTTCGACATGACCGCCGATGGCCAGCCCGTGGGACGGATCGTAATCGAGGTAGGTTCAATTGGAGCAACACGTTTTCATAATAAAATAATATCTCACCAATGAGAATAATTTGTTATTAGCAGATACCTAGTAAATTCCACCATGCTTGTTGCAAGTCATTGAGTGTGTGTGTGTGGATAACGGATTATCTTAATTGGGCTTCCGTTGATATCAAAATTGTTGAAGTTCACTGATTTTTCGGCGGATTAAACAGTTTTTAGGTTAAAATTAGGTGCTAGATTTCTGAGGCATGAAAGCATGAAGTAACGATATTATGTAGTCTTGTTTTCGACCACTGGTTATTCGCCTTTATTTTCTTTTTATGTACCAAATTTCAGTGATTTAATTACGTAGGTTGATTAATACCATGGAAATCCATATTGATACTGTATGATTCATGAGAAAAGTTCCAATGACCATCACTACCTACTAAAGTACACTTATTTTTGGAGACAAGATCACAAATCTACTTCCTCATGTTTTATTCGGCCTTCAGAATGCTTACTTAGCACGTCTCTGACGGTGATTTTCCATTAAATAACGGTTGATAACGGACGGCATTGGGCCATTATTTGCTAATCTTCAATACAGAGTGATTCTTAATAAATTATAGGTGCACAGAGCAATGGAAAAATCCTGACATCAAAATATCAGGATTGGCCAAATAAGAACTCAGTTATTAATTAATTTATATAAGTACTAGAATTCTATCATTGCTCTGTGTGGAATTCTTTGAGAATTGCCCTGTTTATAATCAATGCTACATTGCGGTCATAAAAAGGTGAATCAAGATTTTTATCATCTTTGTCTAATGAATTCATTATCAATGATTTTGTTTGTTGCACATCAATCTTTCTGTAAATGGGTAAACAAAGTTTAAAGAAGCTAAGCCTTGATAAGAATAATCATGGCCTGTTATATTCCATTCCTAATTTCCGTAATATTTGGAGAATATTAGTAAGAATTATACAGGGTGTTTCAGATAGAGCTTTTATGAGGTACAGGGTGTTGATGTTGATATGGGTAATATTATTTGCCATTTTCCATTATCACCCTGTATAAGCTTTCATAATGCCAACATTCAGTGTGGTTACTTCTCAAAATCTCCTGATTATAGGTACCTACCTACTTATTTTGGCTATCCAGTGATCTCAATGGATGTCTTGAATGAAGTACATTTAAATTTGAATTCATATCAAGTCTCCATTCATTTTCTTGAAAACCAAGCAAGATACAAAAAAAAAACTCATGGAAGAAGACTTGTATCTTCTATCTGTGAATCAGATAAAAATATGGAACTCAGAAAAAACAATGGATCACAATGATTTTTACTCACCATAAATGTCAATCAGGTCATCCTCTGGGGTGCCACTGGAGGTGAATCTAGTTATGCCATAAGATACCTACATTTTTATTTCGCAAACCAACCTGCTAAGTTCAACAACAATCACCTGATGAGTTTTTGAGCTGTGAATTTAAAACCTCATGAAAAGTGAAAAAAACAATTTTTTTTTAAATATTACAACTTTTATTATTTTCATTTTCGGCCGTTTATTGAATTTTTCCGATAACAATCTGAAACACTCTGTGTATCATATTGGGGGATTCAATGTTGTATCTACTCATTTCAAAATCACCTGGTATATTTTATAATCCAGAAATTGATGTTCTTCATTCTATCTACTAATAGAATTACTAAATTCTCATCAAAACTATTTTCTTCTAAAATATGGTTGTCATATGTTGAATTTGTTTTCTTTTTCAATAAATTCATCTTATGTTCATGATGCACTTACCTATTGAACTTATGATCTGTCTGACCAATATACAGTGTCATTCATAAAGTCGGCATCATATGGGAAAAACTTGTATTAATGACTTATTTTGAAATTCGAGTTGGACGTCAAGTTCTGCTTCAAAAAAGATGAAAAATGGCCTACTCAATCGGGATCACGTGACTTTCGCTACATGTCAAAAGTGACATTTTTTCAAATTAATCGCTGAAAGTAGGCTTATTTGTTCGAATATTGAGAAAGTTTACTTGAAAAAGTTGTTTTCATTCAAATTCTACATATGTGAGTATGTGACTCGGATTTTATCTTTCTATTAAATTTTTTAGATTTCGATATTTTTTAAAAATTTCCGCAATTTCTGTAATATTAAAAAAATTGTAAATTCGATAAAACTACTTCATACCAGTAGTTTCATCATGCTACTAACTTTCAATTACTAATTTTCACTAATAATTATCGACAAAGATATGATTTTCTTCAGAAAATGATAATCTCCGCTTCAGAATTCTGTTATGTTTGATGCAAACATAACATCAAAATTCTGTTATGTTTGAGTCGAGCATTTAGAAACGAAATTCATTCAAATTTATTTTTTCAGTACTGAAAAGATCAGTTTAAATGAATTTCGTTTCTAAATGCTTTACAATATATCAACTTTGCATCAAACATAACAGAATTTGGAAGCGGGTATTATAATTTTCTGAAGAAGATCATATTTCTGTCCATAATCAGGGATGATAAGTAATTGAAAGTAAGTAGCATGAAGAAGCTACTGGTATGAAGTAGTTTCGTGGAATTAACAATTCTCCAAATATTACAGAAATTTCGAAAAATAAAAAAAAAAAACTCAAAATCTGAAAGTTGCAATAGAAAAATCAAATTCGAGAAGCATGTGTAAAATTGAAATAGAAACAACTTTTTCAAGTAAACTTTTTCGTTATTCGAACAAATAAGCCTACGATTAATTTGAAAAAATGTCACTTTTGACATGTAGCGAAAGTCACGTGACCCTGATTGAGTAGGCCATTTTCCATATTTTTTGAAGCAAAACTCAAGGTCCAACTCGAATTCCAAAATAAGTCATTAATAAAAGTTTTTTCCATATGATGCCGACTTTATGAATGACACTGTATACCTCAAGACAAGATCCACAGTTGAGTTTGTATACCCCTGATTCTTCGAATTTTGAAGTTTTGTCTTTATTATTTTTGATAAACTTCCCCAATGTGTTATTTGTTCTATATGCTACTTTATTAGTTAATTTTCAAATTTATTTCTCTTAGATTTATGTAGAAAATGTAACTTCGTAAATTGATTCAATCTCAAAACTAATTATACCATGATTTAAGGCTGATTGTTTTTTTTAAATCATAACTAACTGTCGAGATAGGATCCGAGCCTTAAATTAGCCTTGACTTTTGGTATGATAATTAGTTTTGTGAACTGAAAATACCTATATATCCTTAAATTGTGGTGTATTCAATAATCCTTACATTCCTCCCCAGATTCCTTTTATTTGAGACTTAGTTCTGCTAGCTTAACGGTTAAGCCAGCAAAATCCATGATTAAAAAAAAACTATTTGCGAAAAAATCGGCATGAGGCTAGGATTGAAGCCTTATATTCCTTAAATTATGGTATAATTAGATTTTTTTCTGTGACGGGAAAAACAACCCCCAGCTGAAATCTAATACCAAAGAAGCTAGCAAAGCCACTTTCGAATTTCAACATGAGACACATCTCATAATTTTAGGCTCATTTTAGGCTAATTTATTACCCCATTCCCGAATTTTTCGCTCCTCTCTATCATAGAAGAATGTGTGGCTTTGCTAGCTTCGGCAGAGCTCAGCAAAGCGATTTTTGAAAAAATATTTTTTGATTATCTGATATAGTGAAAATGTAGTAGTGCTCATTTTAGGCTAATTTATTGCCCTATTCCCCATTTTCTTGCTCCTCTCTATCATAGAAAAATCTGTGACTTTGATAGCTTCGGCCGAACTCAGCAGAGCCATTTTTGAAAATATTGATTTTTCACCGATTTGATATATTGAGATTAAATGGCTAATTTTAGTCTAATTACTCACCCTTTTTCCAATTTTTTTGCTCAACGTTTCAAACAGAAAAAATACGAGACGATTTGTCATATTGTCGAGTATTTAATCGGAACATATACAGGGTGATCAAAATTTTGAATCTTGTACCCCTGTATCTGTGCCAATGTGATATCAGTAAATAGTGAATCAAAAGTTGAGATAGAAACATGTGAGCCGTTATGACCGAAAATGAATAGTTTCGACAAAAAAAATCCTAAACTTGCAAAATCTCTATTTTGAACACCATATATCTCTGTAATATTTTTCGATGGACCCCAAGTGTGATATATCGATGAAATCAGCTCTTCACTGAGAATTTTGAAATGCGATAAAATACATGTTGTCCATTTGAAATATCAATGTTGCTACTACTTTCTAGTAGAAGCGGCAACACTGCATTGTCGAAAATATTTTAAATATTTGAAAAAAAGCATGCACATTTTCATGGCTTTCCGCTGACTGATTCTTGATATAAAGATAGTGTAAGCTCGTCGTGACATATCCTGTATTACTTTGTTCATATTGTAGTACTCATTTTATTTCTGTAATCGTAAACTTCGAGGTAAACTTTTATAAAATGAAGCCAACATATTTTTTCCAAATGGGACACCCTGTATGCTTCTATCTAGTTCGACTCAGATTTCCTCTAGCTCATCATAAATACATAATAGTCGACATTTTTTATTTGAAAAAACTAATTTATTTAGAAAATAAATACAAAAAGCTCAAAGTCAAGTATTTATTTACCATTTCATTCCACTTTGAGCATAGTGGCTATTTCGTAGTTGTAATATATTTAGGTCCCATTTTCTAAAAATGGGCGATTACATAAATATAGTATATTATTCGACGAGCGTGTAATGATGGCCATTACTCATGAGAATGAAGTTTGCGACGTGAGCCGCAGGCGAACGTCGTAATCATTCGAATGAGTAATAGCCATTACACGCAAGTAGAATACTATACTTTTTCTATGACTGAGTGATGAACTGGTTGAGTTCATCAGCAGTGAATATCTTCGCTTTCTTTGACATATATCCATCAGATACCAGCGTGAAAGCAGCCACGTCTTCCCCAGTAAATTCGAACGGCTTTAGATATTTTGTGGCTGGCCAGCCACGTTTT